GAATGCGTTAAGCTGTTGATTTAGTGTTCTTTTGATGAGTTTGGCTTGTTGTTATGAACATTTTTCGTTTTGGCCAATTTGAAGGTTTTTGAGCATGTGTAATGGCATGAATGTGTTGAATTAGTAATCCCTTGTGTTAAGCAGTTGTTTTAGTTTTCTTTTGATGAGTTTGGCTTGTTGTTATGAAAAGTGTTTGTTTTGGCGAGTTTGAACGTTTTTGAGCATGTGTAATGGCATGAATGCGTTAAGCTGTTGTTTTAGTGTTCTTTTGATGAGTTTGGCTTGTTGTTATGAAAAGTGTTTGTTTTGGCGAGTTTGAACGTTTTTGAGCATGTGTAATGGCATGAATGCGTTAAGCTGTTGTTTAAGTGTTTGTTTGATGAGTTTGGCTTGTTGTTATGAACATTGTTCGTTTTGGCCAGTTTGAAGGTTTTTGAGCATGTGTAATGGCATGAATGCGTTAAGCTGTTGTTTTAGTGTTCTTTTGATGAGTTTGGCTTGTTGTTATGAAAAGTGTTTGTTTTGGCGAGTTTGAACGTTTTTGAGCATGTGTAATGGCATGAATGCGTTAAGCTGTTGTTTTAGTGTTCTTTTGATGAGTTTGGCTTGTTGTTATGAACATTGTTCGTTTTGGCCAGTTTGAAGGTTTTTTAGCATGTGTAATGGCATGAATGTGTTGAATTAGTAATCCCTTGTGTTAAGCCGTTGTTTTAGTGTTCTTTTGATGAGTTTGGCTTGTTGTTATGAAAAGTGTTTGTTTTGGCGAGTTTGAACGTTTTTGAGCATGTGTAATGGCATGAATGCTTTAAGCTGTTGTTTTAGTGTTCTTTTGATGAGTTTGGCTGGTTGTTATGAAAAGTGTTTGTTTTGGCGAGTTTGAACGTTTTTGAGCATGTGTAATGGCATGAATGCGTAAAGCTGTTGTTTTAGTGTTCTTTTGATGAGTTTGGCTTGTTGTTATAAAAAGTGTTTGTTTTGGCGAGTTTGAACGTTTTTGAGCATGTGTAATGGCATGAATGTGTCGAATTAGTAATCCCTTGTGTTAAGCCGTTGTTTTAGTGTTCTTTTGATGGGTTTGGCTTGTTGTTATGAAAAGTGTTTGTTTTGGCGAGTTTGAACGTTTTTGAGCATGTGTAATGGCATGAATGCTTTTAGCTGTTGTTTTAGTGTTCTTTTGATGAGTTTGGCTGGTTGTTATGAAAAGTGTTTGTTTTGGCGAGTTTGAACGTTTTTGAGCATGTGTAATGGCATGAATGCGTTAAGCTGTTGTTTCAGTGTTTGTTTGATGAGTTTGGCTTGTTGTTATGAACATTGTTCGTTTTGGCCAGTTTGAAGGTTTTTGAGCATGTGTAATGGCATGAATGCGTAAAGCTGTTGTTTTAGTGTTCTTTTGATGAGTTTGGCTTGTTGTTATAAAAAGTGTTTGTTTTGGCGAGTTTGAACGTTTTTGAGCATGTGTAATGGCATGAATGTGTCGAATTAGTAATCCCTTGTGTTAAGCCGTTGTTTTAGTGTTCTTTTGATGGGTTTGGCTTGTTGTTATGAAAAGTGTTTGTTTTGGCGAGTTTGAACGTTTTTGAGCATGTGTAATGGCATGAATGCTTTAAGCTGTTGTTTTAGTGTTGTTTTGATGAGTTTGGCTGGTTGTTCTGAAAAGTGTTTGTTTTGGCGAGTTTGAACGTTTTTGAGCATGTGTAATGGCATGAATGCGTTAAGCTGTTGTTTTAGTGTTTGTTTGATGAGTTTGGCTTGTTGTTATGAACATTGTTCGTTTTGGCCAGTTTGAATGTTTTTGAGCATGTGTAATGGCATGAATGCGTAAAGCTGTTGTTTTAGTGTTCTTTTGATGAGTTTGGCTTGTTGTTATAAAAAGTGTTTGTTTTGGCGAGTTTGAACGTTTTTGAGCATGTGTAATGGCATGAATGCGTTAAACTGTTGTTTTAGTGTTCTTTTGATGAGTTTGGCTTGTTGTTATGAACATTGTTCGTTTTGGCCAATTTGAAGGTTTTTGAGCATGTGTAATGGCATGAATGTGTTGAATTAGTAATCCCTTGCGTTAAGCTGTTGTTTTAGTGTTCTTTTGATGAGTTTGGCTTGTTGTTATGAACATTGTTCGTTTTGGTCAGTTTGAAGGTTTTTGAGCATGTGTAATGGCATGAATGCGTTAAGCTGTTGTTTTAGTGTTCTTTTGATGAGTTTGGCTTGTTGTTATGAACATTGTTCGTTTTGGCCAGTTTGAAGGTTTTTGAGCATGTGTAATGGCATGAATGCGTTAAGCTGTTGTTTTAGTGTTCTTTTGATGAGTTTGGCTTGTTGTTATGAACATTGTTCGTTTTGGCCAGTGTGAAGGTTTTTGAGCATGTGTAATGGCATGAATGCGTTAAGCTGTTGTTTTAGTGTTCTTTTGATGAGTTTGGCTTGTTGTTATGAAAAGTGTTTGTTCTGGCGAGTTTGAACGTTTTTGAGCATGTGTAATGGCATGAATGCGTTAAGCTGTTGTTTTAGTGTTCTTTTGATGAGTTTGACTGGTTGTTATGAAAAGTGTTTGTTTTGGCGAGTTTGAACGTTTTTGAGCATGTGTAATGGCATGAATGCGTTAAGCTGTTGTTTTAATGTTCGTTTGATGAGTTTGGCTTGTTGTTATGAACATTGTTCGTTTTGGCGAGTTTGAACGTTTTTGAGCATGTGTAATGGCATGAATGCGTTAAGCTGTTGATTTAGTGTTCTTTTGATGAGTTTGGCTTGTTGTTATGAACATTTTTCGTTTTGGCCAATTTGAAGGTTTTTGAGCATGTGTAATGGCATGAATGTGTTGAATTAGTAATCCCTTGTGTTAAGCAGTTGTTTTAGTTTTCTTTTGATGAGTTTGGCTTGTTGTTATGAAAAGTGTTTGTTTTGGCGAGTTTGAACGTTTTTGAGCATGTGTAATGGCATGAATGCGTTAAGCTGTTGTTTTAGTGTTCTTTTGATGAGTTTGGCTTGTTGTTATGAAAAGTGTTTGTTTTGGCGAGTTTGAACGTTTTTGAGCATGTGTAATGGCATGAATGCGTTAAGCTGTTGTTTAAGTGTTTGTTTGATGAGTTTGGCTTGTTGTTATGAACATTGTTCGTTTTGGCCAGTTTGAAGGTTTTTGAGCATGTGTAATGGCATGAATGCGTTAAGCTGTTGTTTTAGTGTTCTTTTGATGAGGTTGGCTTGTTGTTATGAAAAGTGTTTGTTTTGGCGAGTTTGAACGTTTTTGAGCATGTGTAATGGCATGAATGCGTTAAGCTGTTGTTTTAGTGTTCTTTTGATGAGTTTGGCTTGTTGTTATGAACATTGTTCGTTTTGGCCAGTTTGAAGGTTTTTTAGCATGTGTAATGGCATGAATGTGTTGAATTAGTAATCCCTTGTGTTAAGCCGTTGTTTTAGTGTTCTTTTGATGAGTTTGGCTTGTTGTTATGAAAAGTGTTTGTTTTGGCGAGTTTGAACGTTTTTGAGCATGTGTAATGGCATGAATGCTTTAAGCTGTTGTTTTAGTGTTCTTTTGATGAGTTTGGCTGGTTGTTATGAAAAGTGTTTGTTTTGGCGAGTTTGAACGTTTTTGAGCATGTGTAATGGCATGAATGCGTAAAGCTGTTGTTTTAGTGTTCTTTTGATGAGTTTGGCTTGTTGTTATAAAAAGTGTTTGTTTTGGCGAGTTTGAACGTTTTTGAGCATGTGTAATGGCATGAATGTGTCGAATTAGTAATCCCTTGTGTTAAGCCGTTGTTTTAGTGTTTTTTTGATGGGTTTGGCTTGTTGTTATGAAAAGTGTTTGTTTTGGCGAGTTTGAACGTTTTTGAGCATGTGTAATGGCATGAATGCTTTAAGCTGTTGTTTTAGTGTTCTTTTGATGAGTTTGGCTGGTTGTTATGAAAAGTGTTTGTTTTGGCGAGTTTGAACGTTTTTGAGCATGTGTAATGGCATGAATGCGTTAAGCTGTTGTTTCAGTGTTTGTTTGATGAGTTTGGCTTGTTGTTATGAACATTGTTCGTTTTGGCCAGTTTGAAGGTTTTTGAGCATGTGTAATGGCATGAATGCGTAAAGCTGTTGTTTTAGTGTTCTTTTGATGAGTTTGGCTTGTTGTTATAAAAAGTGTTTGTTTTGGCGAGTTTGAACGTTTTTGAGCATGTGTAATGGCATGAATGTGTCGAATTAGTAATCCCTTGTGTTAAGCCGTTGTTTTAGTGTTCTTTTGATGGGTTTGGCTTGTTGTTATGAAAAGTGTTTGTTTTGGCGAGTTTGAACGTTTTTGAGCATGTGTAATGGCATGAATGCTTTAAGCTGTTGTTTTAGTGTTGTTTTGATGAGTTTGGCTGGTTGTTATGAAAAGTGTTTGTTTTGGCGAGTTTGAACGTTTTTGAGCATGTGTAATGGCATGAATGCGTTAAGCTGTTGTTTTAGTGTTTGTTTGATGAGTTTGGCTTGTTGTTATGAACATTGTTCGTTTTGGCCAGTTTGAATGTTTTTGAGCATGTGTAATGGCATGAATGCGTAAAGCTGTTGTTTTAGTGTTCTTTTGATGAGTTTGGCTTGTTGTTATAAAAAGTGTTTGTTTTGGCGAGTTTGAACGTTTTTGAGCATGTGTAATGGCATGAATGCGTTAAACTGTTGTTTTAGTGTTCTTTTGATGAGTTTGGCTTGTTGTTATGAACATTGTTCGTTTTGGCCAATTTGAAGGTTTTTGAGCATGTGTAATGGCATGAATGTGTTGAATTAGTAATCCCTTGCGTTAAGCTGTTGTTTTAGTGTTCTTTTGATGAGTTTGGCTTGTTGTTATGAACATTGTTCGTTTTGGTCAGTTTGAAGGTTTTTGAGCATGTGTAATGGCATGAATGCGTTAAGCTGTTGTTTTAGTGTTCTTTTGATGAGTTTGGCTTGTTGTTATGAACATTGTTCGTTTTGGCCAGTTTGAAGGTTTTTGAGCATGTGTAATGGCATGAATGCGTTAAGCTGTTGTTTTAGTGTTCTTTTGATGAGTTTGGCTTGTTGTTATGAACATTGTTCGTTTTGGCCAGTGTGAAGGTTTTTGAGCATGTGTAATGGCATGAATGCGTTAAGCTGTTGTTTTAGTGTTCTTTTGATGAGTTTGGCTTGTTGTTATGAAAAGTGTTTGTTCTGGCGAGTTTGAACGTTTTTGAGCATGTGTAATGGCATGAATGCGTTAAGCTGTTGTTTTAGTGTTCTTTTGATGAGTTTGACTGGTTGTTATGAAAAGTGTTTGTTTTGGCGAGTTTGAACGTTTTTGAGCATGTGTAATGGCATGAATGCGTTAAGCTGTTGTTTTAATGTTCGTTTGATGAGTTTGGCTTGTTGTTATGAACATTGTTCGTTTTGGCCAGTTTGAAGGTTTTTGAGCATGTGTAATGGTATGAATGCGTTAAGCTGTTGTTTTAGTTTTCTTTTGATGAGTTTGGCTTGTTGTTATGAACATTGTTCGTTTTGGCCAGTTTGAAGGTTTTTGAGCATGTGTAATGGCATGAATGTGTTGAATTAGTAATCCCTTGTGTTAAGCCGTTGTTTTAGTGTTCTTTTGATGAGTTTGGCTTGTTGTTATGAAAAGTGTTTGTTTTGGCGAGTTTGAACGTTTTTGAGCATGTGTAATGGCATGAATGCGTTAAGCTGTTGTTTTAGTGTTCTTTTGATGAGTTTGGCTTGTTGTTATGAACATTGTTCGTTTTGCACAGTTTGAAGGTTTTTTAGCATGTGTAATGGCATGAATGCGTTAAGCTGTTGTTTTAGTGTTCTTTTGATGAGTTTGGCTTGTTGTTATGAACATTGTTCGTTTTGGCCAGTTTGAAGGTTTTTTAGCATGTGTAATGGCATGAATGCGTTAAGCTGTTGTTTTAGTGTTCTTTTGATGAGTTTGGCTTGTTGTTATGAAAAGTGTTTGTTTTGGCGAGTTTGAACGTTTTTGAGCATGTGTAATGGCATGAATGCGTTAATCTGTTGTTTTAGTGTTCTTTTGATGAGTTTGGCTTGTTGTTATGAACATTGTTCGTTTTGGCCAGTTTGAAGGTTTTTGAGCATGTGTAATGGCATGAATGCGTTAAGCTGTTGTTTTAGTGTTCTTTTGATGAGTTTGGCTTGTTGTTATGAACATTGTTCGTTTTGGTCAGTTTGAAGGTTTTTGAGCATGTGTAATGGCATGAATGCGTTAAGCTGTTGTTTTAGTGTTCTTTTGATGAGTTTGGCTTGTTGTTATGAACATTGTTCGTTTTGGCCAGTTTGAATGTTTCTTAGCATGTGTAATGGCATGAATGCGTTAAGCTGTTGTTTTAGTGTTCTTTTGATGAGTTTGGCTTGTTGTTATGAACATTGTTCGTTCTGGCCAGTTTGAAGGTTTTTGAGCATGTGTAATGGCATGAATGCGTTAAGCTGTTGTTTTAGTGTTCTTTTGATGAGTTTGGCTTGTTGTTATGAACATTGTTCGTTTTGTACAGTTTGAAGGTTTTTTAGCATGTGTAATGGCATGAATGCGTTAAGCTGTTGTTTTAGTGTTCTTTTGATGAGTTTGGCTTGTTGTTATGAACATTGTTCGTTTTGGCCAGTTTGAACGTTTTTGAGCATGTGTAATCGCATGAATGTGTTGAATTAATAATCCCTTGTGTCAAGCTGTTGTTTTAGTGTTCTTTTGATGAGTTTGGCTTGTTGTTATGAAAAGTGTTTGTTTTGGCGAGTTTGAACGTTTTTGAGCATGTGTAATGGCATGAATGCGTTAAGCTGTTGTTTTAGTGTTCTTTTGATGAGTTTGGCTTGTTGTTATGAACATTGTTCGTTTTGGCCAGTTTGAAGGTTTTTTAGCATGTGTAATGGCATGAATGTGTTTAATTAGTAATCCCCTGTGTTAAGCCGTTGTGTTAGTGTTCTTTTAATGAGTTTGGATTGTTGTTATGAAAAGTGTTTGTTTTGGCGAGTTTGAACGTTTTTGAGCATGTGTAATGGCATGAATGCGTTAAGCTGTTGTTTAAGTGTTTGTTTGATGAGTTTGGCTTGTTGTTATGAACATTGTTCGTTTTGGCCAGTTTGAAGGTTTTTGAGCATGTGTAATGGCATGAATGCGTTAAGCTGTTGTTTTAGTGTTCTTTTGATTAGTTTGGCTTGTTGTTATGAAAAGTGTTTGTTTTGGCGAGTTTGAACGTTTTTGAGCATGTGTAATGGCATGAATGCGTTAAGCTGTTGTTTTAGTGTTCTTTTGATGAGTTTGGCTTGTTGTTATGAACATTGTTCGTTTTGGCCAGTTTGAAGGTTTTTGAGCATGTGTAATGGCATGAATGCGTTAAGCTGTTGTTTTAGTGTTCTTTTGATGAGTTTGGCTTGTTGTTATGAAAAGTGTTTGTTCTGGCGAGTTTGAACGTTTTTGAGCATGTGTAATGGCATGAATGCGTTAAGCTGTTGTCTTAGTGTTCTTTTGACTCCGCCAGAACCCACCTCGGCATTTAACACCAAGGAGCCAACTTTGAGAGAAGTTTAGGAGGTTGTCAAGGCAGCTAGGTCCAAGTCAGCACCAGGCCCCAGTGGAGTGCCATATGTGGTCTACAAGAGATGCCCCAGACTCTTGAAGCGACTATGGTCAATCCTCTGGGTCATCTGGAGAAGGGGGAAGGTGGCCCAGCAGTGGAGACATGCAGAGGGGGTCTGGATTCCAAAGGAGGAGAGCTCAACCACCATCGAGCAATTCAGGATCATCTCACTCCTCAGCGTCGAGGGCAAGATTTTCTTAAGCATCGTTGCCCGGCGCTTGATGGAGTTCCTCCTGAGGAACACTTACATCGACACCTCTGTGCAGAAGGGAGGAGTCCCAAAGGTCCCAGGATGCATCGAGCATACAGGAGTTGTCACCCAGCTGATCCGGGAAGCAAGAGAAGGCAGAGGAGATCTGGCAGTCCTTTGGCTCGACCTTGCCAACGCCTACGGGTCCATGCCACACAAGCTGGTGGAAATCTCGCTCGACCGACACCATGTTCCAGGCAAGATCAAGGACCTCATACTGGACTACTACAGCTGCTTCAGTTTGAGAGTCACTTCCGGAACAGTAACATCTGCATTCCATCGGCTTGAGAAGGGCATTATCACAGGATGCACCATTTCTGTGGTACTGTTTTCCTTGGCCATGAATATGCTGGTGAAGTCAGCAGAGGTGGAGTGCAGAGGACCACTCACCAACTCAGGTACGCGACAGCCCCCCATCAGAGCATTTATGGATGATCTGACGGTGACTACAACATCTGTCCCGGGCTGTAGATGGATCCTCCAAGGCCTGGAACATCTCGTCAGCTGGGCCCGGATGAACTTCAAGCCAGCCAAATCCAGGTCCCTGGTGGTGAGAAAGGGGAAGGTCGCAGAGAAGTTTCGCTTCTCAATAGGAGATACCCTGATTCCATCTGTGGGTGAAAAGCCAGTTAAGAGCCTGGGCAAGATCTACGACTGCACCTTGAAGGACACCACAGCACTCCAAGCAACATCAGAGGAGTTGGGAACCTGGCTGACGGCAGTGGATAAGTCGGGGCTACCAGGCAAGTTCAAAGCCTGGATTTACCAACATGGCATCCTACCTCGACTTCTCTGGCCACTGCTGGTTTATAATGTGCCTGTGACCACCGTCGAGTGCTTCGAGAGGAAGGTCAGCTCTTTCTTGCGGAAGTGGCTGGGCCTACCACGAAGCCTCAGCAGCATCGCATTGTACGGGAAGAGCAACAAACTTAACCTACCCTTCAGCAGTCTGACGGAGGAGTTTATGGTTACCCGTGCAAGAGAGGTGCTGCTGTATAGGGACTCAAGTGACATCAAAGTCTCCTCGGCAGGTGTAGAAGTGAGGACCGGCAGGAAGTGGTGTGCTCAAGAGGCAGTCGATCAGGCTGAGTCCCGCTTGCGGCACAGTGAGCTGGTGGGAACGGTGGCATCCGGACGGGCAGGACTTGGGAGCAACCCGAGACCTTCATATAACAAGGCCAAGGGGAAGGAAAGGCGTCAGCTGATCCAGGAGGAGGTCCGAGCAGGGGTGGAGGAAGCCCGCTGCAGCAAGACAGTGGGGATGCGGCAGCAGGGGGCGTGGACCCGTTGGGAGGAGGCAGCTGCCCGGAAGGTCTCGTGGTCAGAGCTATGGCGCTCTGAGCCTCACCGGATCAAGTTCCTCATTCAGTCGGTCTACGACGTCCTCCCAAGCCCATCCAACCTCCACCGCTGGGGCTTGGCTGAGAACCCACTGTGCCCTCTCTGCCAAAGAGCAGGATCACTGGAACACATCTTGAGCTGCTGCCCAACAGCACTGGGAGAGGGGCGCTACCGCTGGCGCCATGACCAAGTGCTACGGGTCATTGCGGAGGCCATCAACACAGGCATCTCCACCAGCAAACACACACAACCATCAAGGCAGACCATCGCCTTCGTTAAGGCTGGGGAGAAGCCGCAGCAGCTCAGGAGGCAAGCAGGGGGGCTGCTGGCAACAGCCCGTGACTGGCAGCTGAAAGTCGACCTAGGGAGACAGCTCAAATTCCCGGAGAACATCGCAGTGACCACGCTCAGGCCAGACATGGTCCTGGTGTCTGAAACAACAAGGCAAGTGGTCCTGCTGGAGTTGACTGTTCCCTGGGAAGACAGGATGGAGGAGGCCTTTGAGAGAAAGAAAGCCAAGTATGAGGAGCTGGCAAGTGAATGCCGAAGCAGGGGATGGAGGACCCGGTGCAACCCCATCGAGGTCGGATGCAGAGGATTCGCTGGCCAGTCCCTCATCAGGGCTCTCAAGATGCTGGGAATGGGGGGACTGCACAACAGGCGAGCCATTAAGAACATCTGTGACGCAGCAGAGAAGGCGTCCAGATGGCTGTGGATCAAGCGGGGTGATCCGTGGACACATGCTCTTAAGACACAAGCCGGGACTTGATCACCCCGGCTGGGTCCCCTGGGCGAGGGTGTCTGTTGCAAGACCCGAAACACCCAGTGAACCCAGGTGCCAACACTGATGATGTGTCTTAAGTTGCACCATAAGTGTATTTCAGAACTAGTTGATCTGGCCATGCCAGTGACCTCCGGGAATAGGCCGGATGACGACCATGAACAGTATGGTGACTGCTGGAGAGTCAGCTGACAACTGGAAAGACAGTAACCGGGGCAGGGAGGGCCAGCAACCCAAACTGCAGCTCCTGTGAGGGAGCACCCACAAGCACGCTACGAAAAGCCCTGACTAAGTATACCCCCAGGGGTGCCCGAGAGGGGGGGAGGATGAGCACCCCAACAGGACTGACAAACAGGCAACGAAGCGGAACGGAAAAATGACTACGAGCGCAGTCTGTCCATGCGGCAAGGTCTGCAAGAACCCGCGTGGTCTGAAGATCCACCAGACCAAAATGAGATGCTTGACGGGGAAGCAGGTGGTGCAACGCACAGGTCCAGAACCTGGTGAGACGCAGGAGGTGCCCGGCCAGGAGTCAACCCACAGTGCCCAGACCCTCCACGCCCCACAAGTCCTACCTCGTTTCAAGCATTCAGAACATCGACGGGTCGTGTGGCCTGCAGCCAACAAAGAAAGAGAGTGGCTCCAATTTGATGAAGACGTGGACCGAGTCCTTGACGCTACTGCAAGGGGAGATGCAGACCAGAGATTGCTGTCAATGTCGGCGATGATCATCAACATCGGTGCTGAAAGGTTCGGCATAAAGGAACAACAGCCAACCAGACACCCAGGGGAGCCAACCAGATGCCCAGGGGAGCCAAACAGACGGGAGGTAAAGATCAGCCAGCTGCGGCAGGAACTTAAACTGCTTGGACGACAGTTTAAGGTGGCAAGGGAGGAAGAGAAGGCCGGGCTGGCAGAGCTCCGCAGCACAATAAGGAAAAGGCTCATCATCCTCCGTCGAGCAGAGTGGCATAGGAGAAGGGGTAGAGAGAGGGCCAGGAGAGTGCAGCCTTCATCTCAAATCCCTTTGGCTTCACCAAGAAAATCCTCGGGCAGAAAAGAAGTGGCCACCTTGCCTGCACTGAAGACGAGGTTAACAAGTACCTCAATACCACCTACAGCGATAGTGCAAGAGAAGAAGATCTTGGGCCATGCAGAACCCTGATAACTCCGCCAGAACCCACCTCGGCATTTAACACCAAGGAGCCAACTTTGAGAGAAGTTGAGGAGGTTGTCAAGGCAGCTAGGTCCAAGTCAGCACCAGGCCCCAGTGGAGTGCCATATGTGGTCTACAAGAGATGCCCCAGACTCTTGAAGCGACTATGGTCAATCCTCCGGGTCATCTGGAGAAGGGGGAAGGTGGCCCAGCAGTGGAGACATGCAGAGGGGGTCTGGATTCCAAAGGAGGAGAGCTCAACCACCATCGAGCAATTCAGGATCATCTCACTCCTCAGCGTCGAGGGCAAGATTTTCTTAAGCATCGTTGCCCGGCGCTTGATGGAGTTCCTCCTGAGGAACACTTACATCGACACCTCTGTGCAGAAGGGAGGAGTCCCAAAGGTCCCAGGATGCATCGAGCATACAGGAGTTGTCACCCAGCTGATCCGGGAAGCAAGAGAAGGCAGAGGAGATCTGGCAGTCCTTTGGCTCGACCTTGCCAATGCCTACGGGTCCATGCCACACAAGCTGGTGGAAATCTCGCTCGACCGACACCATGTTCCAGGCAAGATCAAGGACCTCATACTGGACTACTACAGCTGCTTCAGTTTGAGAGTCACTTCCGGAACAGTAACATCTGCATTCCATCGGCTTGAGAAGGGCATTATCACAGGATGCACCATTTCTGTGGTACTGTTTTCCTTGGCCATGAATATGCTGGTGAAGTCAGCAGAGGTGGAGTGCAGAGGACCACTCACCAACTCAGGTACGCGACAGCCCCCCATCAGAGCATTTATGGATGATCTGACGGTGACTACAACATCTGTCCCGGGCTGTAGATGGATCCTCCAAGGCCTGGAACATCTCGTCAGCTGGGCCCGGATGAACTTCAAGCCAGCCAAATCCAGGTCCCTGGTGGTGAGAAAGGGGAAGGTCGCAGAGAAGTTTCGCTTCTCAATAGGAGATACCCTGATTCCATCTGTGGGTGAAAAGCCAGTTAAGAGCCTGGGCAAGATCTACGACTGCACCTTGAAGGACACCACAGCACTCCAAGCAACATCAGAGGAGTTGGGAACCTGGCTGACGGCAGTGGATAAGTCGGGGCTACCAGGCAAGTTCAAAGCCTGGATTTACCAACATGGCATCCTACCTCGACTTCTCTGGCCACTGCTTGTTTATAATGTGCCTGTGACCACCGTCGAGTGCTTCGAGAGGAAGGTCAGCTCTTTCTTGCGGAAGTGGCTGGGCCTACCACGAAGCCTCAGCAGCATCGCATTGTACGGGAAGAGCAACAAACTTAACCTACCCTTCAGCAGTCTGACGGAGGAGTTTATGGTTACCCGTGCAAGAGAGGTGCTGCTGTATAGGGACTCAAGTGACATCAAAGTCTCCTCGGCAGGTGTAGAAGTGAGGACCGGCAGGAAGTGGTGTGCTCAAGAGGCAGTCGATCAGGCTGAGTCCCGCTTGCGGCACAGTGAGCTGGTGGGAACGGTGGCATCCGGACGGGCAGGACTTGGGAGCAACCCGAGACCTTCATATAACAAGGCCAAGGGGAAGGAAAGGCGTCAGCTGATCCAGGAGGAGGTCCGAGCAGGGGTGGAGGAAGCCCGCTGCAGCAAGACAGTGGGGATGCGGCAGCAGGGGGCGTGGACCCGTTGGGAGGAGGCAGCTGCCCGGAAGGTCTCGTGGTCAGAGCTATGGCGCTCTGAGCCTCACCGGATCAAGTTCCTCATTCAGTCGGTCTACGACGTCCTCCCAAGCCCATCCAACCTCCACCGCTGGGGCTTGGCTGAGAACCCACTGTGCCCTCTCTGCCAAAGAGCAGGATCACTGGAACACATCTTGAGCTGCTGCCCAAGAGCACTGGGAGAGGGGCGCTACCGCTGGCGCCATGACCAAGTGCTACGGGTCATTGCGGAGGCCATCAACACAGGCATCTCCACCAGCAAACACACACAACCATCAAGGCAGACCATCGCCTTCGTTAAGGCTGGGGAGAAGCCGCAGCAGCTCAGGAGGCAAGCAGGGGGGCTGCTGGCAACAGCCCGTGACTGGCAGCTGAAAGTCGACCTAGGGAGACAGCTCAAATTCCCGGAGAACATCGCAGTGACCACGCTCAGGCCAGACATGGTCCTGGTGTCTGAAACAACAAGGCAAGTGGTCCTGCTGGAGTTGACTGTTCCCTGGGAAGACATGATGGAGGAGGCCTTTGAGAGAAAGAAAGCCAAGTATGAGGAGCTGGCAAGTGAATGCCGAAGCAGGGGATGGAGGACCCGGTGCAACCCCATCGAGGTCGGATGCAGAGGATTCGCTGGCCAGTCCCTCATCAGGGCTCTCAAGATGCTGGGAATGGGGGGACTGCACAACAGGCGAGCCATTAAGAACATCTGTGACGCAGCAGAGAAGGCGTCCAGATGGCTGTGGATCAAGCGGGGTGATCCGTGGACACATGCTCTTAAGACACAAGCCGGGACTTGATCACCCCGGCTGGGTCCCCTGGGCGAGGGTGTCTGTTGCAAGACCCGAAACACCCAGTGAACCCAGGTGCCAACACTGATGATGTGTCTTAAGTTGCACCATAAGTGTATTTCAGAACTGAACATTGTTTGTTTTGGCGAGTTTGAATGTTTTTGAGCATGTGTAATGGCATGAATGCGTTAAGCTGTTGTTTTAGTGTTCTTTTGATGAGTTTGGCTTGTTGTTATGAACATTGTTCGTTTTGGCCAGTTTGAAGGTTTTTGAGCATGTGTAATGGCATGAATGCGTTAAGCTGTTGTTTTAGTGTTCTTTTGATGAGTTTGGCTTGTTGTTATGAACATTGTTCGTTTTGGCCAGTTTGAATGTTTCTTAGCATGTGTAATGGCATGAATGCGTTAAGCTGTTGTTTTAGTGTTCTTTTGATGAGTTTGGCTTGTTGTTATGAACATTGTTCGTTTTGGCCAGTTTGAAGGTTTCTTAGCATGTGTAATGGCATGAATGCGTTAAGCTGTTGTTTTAGTGTTCTTTTGATGAGTTTGGCTGGTTGTTATGAAAAGTGTTTGTTTTGGCGAGTTTGAACGTTTTTGAGCATGTGTAATGGCATGAATGCGTTAAGCTGTTGTTTCAGTGTTTGTTTGATGAGTTTGGCTTGTTGTTATGAACATTGTTCGTTTTGGCCAGTTTGAAGGTTTTTGAGCATGTGTAATGGCATGAATGCGTAAAGCTGTTGTTTTAGTGTTCTTTTGATGAGTTTGGCTTGTTGTTATAAAAAGTGTTTGTTTTGGCGAGTTTGAACGTTTTTTAGCATGTGTAATGGCATGAATGTGTCGAATTAGTAATCCCTTGTGTTAAGCCGTTGTTTTAGTGTTCTTTTGATGAGTTTGGCTTGTTGTTATGAAAAGTGTTTGTTTTGGCGAGTTTGAACGTTTTTGAGCATGTGTAATGGCATGAATGCTTTAAGCTGTTGTTTTAGTGTTGTTTTGATGAGTTTGGCTGGTTGTTATGAAAAGTGTTTGTTTTGGCGAGTTTGAACGTTTTTGAGCATGTGTAATGGCATGAATGCGTTAAGCTGTTGTTTCAGTGTTTGTTTGATGAGTTTGGCTTGTTGTTATGAACATTGTTCGTTTTGGCCAGTTTGAAGGTTTTTGAGCATGTGTAATGGCATGAATGCGTAAAGCTGTTGTTTTAGTGTTCTTTTGATGAGTTTGGCTTGTTGTTATAAAAAGTGTTTGTTTTGGCGAGTTTGAACGTTTTTGAGCATGTGTAATGGCATGAATGTGTCGAATTAGTAATCCCTTGTGTTAAGCCGTTGTTTTAGTGTTCTTTTGATGGGTTTGGCTTGTTGTTATGAAAAGTGTTTGTTTTGGCGAGTTTGAACGTTTTTGAGCATGTGTAATGGCATGAATGCTTTAAGCTGTTGTTTTAGTGTTCTTTTGATGAGTTTGGCTGGTTGTTATGAAAAGTGTTTGTTTTGGCGAGTTTGAACGTTTTTGAGCATGTGTAATGGCATGAATGCGTTAAGCTGTTGTTTCAGTGTTTGTTTGATGAGTTTGGCTTGTTGTTATGAACATTGTTCGTTTTGGCCAGTTTGAAGGTTTTTGAGCATGTGTAATGGCATGAATGCGTAAAGCTGTTGTTTTAGTGTTCTTTTGATGAGTTTGGCTTGTTGTTATAAAAAGTGTTTGTTTGGGCGAGTTTGAACGTTTTTGAGCATGTGTAATGGCATGAATGTGTCGAATTAGTAATCCCTTGTGTTAAGCCGTTGTTTTAGTGTTCTTTTGATGGGTTTGGCTTGTTGTTATGAAAAGTGTTTGTTTTGGCGAGTTTGAACGTTTTTGAGCATGTGTAATGGCATGAATGCTTTAAGCTGTTGTTTTAGTGTTGTTTTGATGAGTTTGGCTGGTTGTTATGAAAAGTGTTTGTTTTGGCCAGTTTGAACGTTTTTGAGCATGTGTAATGGCATGAATGCGTTAAGCTGTTGTTTCAGTGTTTGTTTGATGAGTTTGGCTTGTTGTTATGAACATTGTTCGTTTTGGCCAGTTTGAAGGTTTTTGAGCATGTGTAATGGCATGAATGCGTAAAGCTGTTGTTTTAGTGTTCTTTTGATGAGTTTGGCTTGTTGTTATAAAAAGTGTTTGTTTTGGCGAGTTTGAACGTTTTTGAGCATGTGTAATGGCATGAATGCGTTAAGCTGTTGTTTTAGTGTTCTTTTGATGAGTTTGGCTTGTTGTTATGAAAAGTGTTTGTTTTGGCGAGTTTGAACGTTTTTGAGCATGTGTAATGGCATGAATGCGTTAAGCTGTTGTTTAAGTGTTTGTTTGATGAGTTTGGCTTGTTGTTATGAACATTGTTCGTTTTGGCCAGTTTGAAGGTTTTTGAGCATGTGTAATGGCATGAATGCGTTAAGCCGTTGTTTTAGTGTTCTTTTGATGAGTTTGGCTTGTTGTTATGAAAAGTGTTTGTTTTGGCGAGTTTGAACGTTTTTGAGCATGTGTAATGGCATGAATGCGTAAAGCTGTTGTTTTAGTGTTCTTTTGATGAGTTTGGCTTGTTGTTATAAAAAGTGTTTGTTTTGGCGAGTTTGAACGTTTTTGAGCATGTGTAATGGCATGAATGTGTCGAATTAGTAATCCCTCGTGTTAAGCCGTTGTTTTAGTGTTCTTTTGATGGGTTTGGCTTGTTGTTATGAAAAGTGTTTGTTTTGGCGAGTTTGAACGTTTTTGAGCATGTGTAATGGCATGAATGCTTTAAGCTGTTGTTTTAGTGTTCTTTTGATGAGTTTGGCTTGTTGTTATGAAAAGTGTTTGTTTTGGCGAGTTTGAACGTTTTTGAGCATGTGTAATGGCATGAATGCGTTAAGCTGTTGTTTCAGTGTTTGTTTGATGAGTTTGGCTTGTTGTTATGAACATTGTTCGTTTTGGCCAGTTTGAAGGTTTTTGAGCATGTGTAATGGCATGAATGCGTAAAGCTGTTGTTTTAGTGTTCTTTTGATGAGTTTGGCTTGTTGTTATCAAAAGTGTTTGTTTTGGCGAGTTTGAACGTTTTTGAGCATGTGTAATGGCATGAATGTGTCGAATTAGTAATCCCTTGTGTTAAGCCGTTGTTTTAGTGTTCTTTTGATGAGTTTGGCTTGTTGTTATGAAAAGTGTTTGTTTTGGCGAGTTTGAACGTTTTTGAGCATGTGTAATGGCATGAATGCTTTAAGCTGTTGTTTTAGTGTTGTTTTGATGAGTTTGGCTGGTTGTTATGAAAAGTGTTTGTTTTGGCGAGTTTGAACGTTTTTGAGCATGTGTAATGGCATGAATGCGTTAAGCTGTTGTTTTAGTGTTTGTTTGATGAGTTTGGCTTGTTGTTATGAACATTGTTCGTTTTGGCCAGTTTGAATGTTTTTGAGCATGTGTAATGGCATGAATGCGTAAAGCTGTTGTTTTAGTGTTCTTTTGATGAGTTTGGCTTGTTGTTATAAAAAGTGTTTGTTTTGGCGAGTTTGAACGTTTTTGAGCATGTGTAATGGCATGAATGCGTTAAACTGTTGTTTTAGTAGTGTTCTTTTGATGAGTTTGGCTTGTTGTTATGAACATTGTTCGTTTTGGCCAATTTGAAGGTTTTTGAGCATGTGTAATGGCATGAATGTGTTGAATTAGTAATCCCTTGCGTTAAGCTGTTGTTTTAGTGTTCTTTTGATGAGTTTGGCTTGTTGTTATGAACATTGTTCGTTTTGGTCAGTTTGAAGGTTTTTGAGCATGTGTAATGGCATGAATGCGTTAAGCTGTTGTTTTAGTGTTCTTTTGATGAGTTTGGCTTGTTGTTATGAACATTGTTCGTTTTGGCCAGTTTGAAGGTTTTTGAGCATGTGTAATGGCATGAATGCGTTAAGCTGTTGTTTTAGTGTTCTTTTGATGAGTTTGGCTTGTTGTTATGAACATTGTTCGTTTTGGCCAGTGTGAAGGTTTTTGAGCATGTGTAATGGCATGAATGCGTTAAGCTGTTGTTTTAGTGTTCTTTTGATGAGTTTGGCTTGTTGTTATGAAAAGTGTTTGTTCTGGCGAGTTTGAACGTTTTTGAGCATGTGTAATGGCATGAATGCGTTAAGCTGTTGTTTTAGTGTTCTTTTGATGAGTTTGACTGGTTGTTATGAAAAGTGTTTGTTTTGGCGAGTTTGAACGTTTTTGAGCATGTGTAATGGCATGAATGCGTTAAGCTGTTGTTTTAATGTTCGTTTGATGAGTTTGGCTTGTTGTTATGAACATTGTTCGTTTTGGCGAGTTTGAACGTTTTTGAGCATGTGTAATGGCATGAATGCGTTAAGCTGTTGATTTAGTGTTCTTTTGATGAGTTTGGCTTGTTGTTATGAACATTTTTCGTTTTGGCCAATTTGAAGGTTTTTGAGCATGTGTAATGGCATGAATGTGTTGAATTAGTAATCCCTTGCGTTGAGCTGTTGTTTTAGTTTTTTTTGACGAGTTTGGCTTGTTGTTATGAAAAGTGGTTGTTTTGGCGAGTTTGAACGTTTTTGAGCTTGTGTAATGGCATGAATGCGTTAAGCTGTTGTTTTAGTGTTTGTTTGATGAGTTTGGCTTGTTGTTATGAACATTGTTCGTTTTGGCCAGTTTGAAGGTTTTTGAGCATGTGTAATGGCATGAATGCGTTAAGCTGTTGTTTTAGTGTTCTTTTGATGAGTTTGGCTTGTTGTTATGAAAAGTGTTTGTTTTGGCGAGTTTGAACGTTTTTGAGCATGTGTAATGGCATGAATGCGTTAAGCTGTTGTTTTAGTGTTCTTTTGATGAGTTTGGCTTGTTGTTATGAACATTGTTCGTTTTGGCCAGTTTGAAGGTTTTTGAGCATGTGTAATGGCATGAATGTGTTGAATTAGTAATCCCTTGTGTTAAGCCGTTGTTTTAGTGTTCTTTTGATGAGTTTGGCTTGTTGTTATGAAAAGTGTTTGTTTTGGCGAGTTTGAACGTTTTTGAGCATGTGTAATGGCATGAATGCTTTAAGCTGTTGTTTTAGTGTTCTTTTGATGAGTTTGGCTGGTTGTTATGAAAAGTGTTTGTTTTGGCGAGTTTGAACGTTTTTGAGCATGTGTAATGGCATGAATGCGTTAAAGCTGTTGTTTTAGTGTTCTTTTGATGAGTTTGGCTTGTTGTTATGAAAAGTGTTTGTTTTGGCGAGTTTGAACGTTTTTGAGCATGTGTAATGGCATGAATGTGTTGAATTAGTAATCCCTTGTGTTAAGCCGTTGTTTTAGTGTTCTTTTAATGAGTTTGGCTTGTTGTTATGAAAAGTGTTTGTTTTGGCGAGTTTGAACGTTTTTGAGCATGTGTAATGGCATGAATGCTTTAAGCTGTTGTTTTAGTGTTCTTTTGATGAGTTTGGCTGGTTGTTATGAAAAGTGTTTGTTTTGGCGAGTTTGAACGTTTTTGAGCATGTGTAATGGCATGAATGCGTTAAGCTGTTGTTTTAGTGTTTGTTTGATGAGTTTGGCTTGTTGTTATGAACATTGTTCGTTTTGGCCAGTTTGAAGGTTTTTGAGCATGTGTAATGGCATGAATGCGTAAAGCTGTTGTTTTAGTGTTCTTTTGATGAGTTTGGCTTGTTGTTATAAAAAGTGTTTGTTTTGGCGAGTTTGAACGTTTTTGAGCATGTGTAATGGCATGAATGTGTCGAATTAGTAATCCCTTGTGTTAAGCCGTTGTTTTAGTGTTCTTTTGATGGGTTTGGCTTGTTGTTATGAAAAGTGTTTGTTTTGGCGAGTTTGAACGTTTTTGAGCATGTGTAATGGCATGAATGCTTTAAGCTGTTGTTTTAGTGTTCTTTTGATGAGTTTGGCTGGTTGTTATGAAAAGTGTTTGTTTTGGCGAGTTTGAACGTTTTTGAGCATGTGTAATGGCATGAATGCGTTAAGCTGTTGTTTTAGTGTTTGTTTGATGAGTTTGGCTTGTTGTTATGAACATTGTTCGTTTTGGCCAGTTTGAAGGTTTTTGAGCATGTGTAATGGCATGAATGCGTAAAGCTGTTGTTTTAGTGTTCTTTTGATGAGTTTGGCTTGTTGTTATAAAAAGTGTTTGTTTTGGCGAGTTTGAACGTTTTTGAGCATGTGTAATGGCATGAATGCGTTAAACTGTTGTTTTAGTGTTCTTTTGATGAGTTTGGCTTGTTGTTATGAACATTGTTCGTTTTGGCCAATTTGAAGGTTTTTGAGCATGTGTAATGGCATGAATGTGTTGAATTAGTAATCCCTTGCGTTAAGCTGTTGTTTTAGTGTTCTTTTGATGAGTTTGGCTTGTTGTTATGAACATTGTTCGTTTTGGCCAGTTTGAAGGTTTTTGAGCATGTGTAATGGCATGAATGCGTTAAGCTGTTGTTTTAGTGTTCTTTTGATGAGTTTGGCTTGTTGTTATGAACATTGTTCGTTTTGGCCAGTTTGAACGTTTTTGAGCATGTGTAATGGCATGAATGCGTTAAGCTGTTGTTTTAGTGTTCTTTTGATGAGTTTGGCTTGTTGTTATGAACATTGTTCGTTTTGGCCAGTTTGAAGGTTTTTTAGCATGTGTAATGGCATGAATGCGTTAAGCTGTTGTTTTAGTGTTCTTTTGATGAGTTTGGCTTGTTGTTATGAAAAGTGTTTGTTTTGGCGAGTTTGAACGTTTTTGAGCATGTGTAATGGCATGAATGCGTTAAGCTGTTGTTTTAGTGTTCTT